ACTGCACTCCAGTCTGGGCGACAGAGTGAGACTCCAACTCAAAAAAAAAAAAACTATCAACCTAGAACTCCTTGTCCAGCAAGAATACCCTGCAAGAATAAAGGTATCCAAGGCTGTGGTGAGCTGTAAGTGTGCCACTGCACTCCACCCTGAATGACAGAGTGGGAGCCTGACTCAAATACAGACACGCACACACACACACGTATATAATTTGGATTTTTTAATGTATTACTAACAAACTTGAACTATAGAAAATGCTACAAGATGTTATCTAGGCTGAAGGAGACGATAACACATAGGCATTTAGATCTTCAGGAACAAATGAAGAGTATTTTCACTTCATGACTCAGAGTCTTTTGGTCCTTTATGATGAAAAATTCCGACTCAGGTGCCCCAAGTAGTCTGACTTCTTTTTATACCTCCACTCCCTCAAGCATGCATGTACACATATACACCAAGCATGTAGAGACAGGGGGGTATGCAGTAACTGAGGTCCATGTATGAAAGAATCATGTTTCCCAGATAAACTGAAGATTCTCTTGCTCCTGCAAGTGTAAGTAGTTCTTCTACGCTGCTTAGCCCTAGCATTCTCAAAGAGTAGCACAGGAGACATAGTATTGAGTTTTCGCTAATTTTTAATCAAATTATTTGAACTATTTTGTTCTTGTTGAGTTGCAGAAGTTTTGCATATTCTGGATATTAACCCCTAATCAGATATAGACATTTCTCCAAAGAAGATATACATATGACCAATGAGCACATGAAAAAAGGCTTAACATCACTAATCATTAAGGAAATGTAAATCAAAACTACAAAGAGATATTACCTCACACCCATTAGAGTGGTCATTGTTTAAAAAAAAAAAAAGAAAAAATAACAAGTGCTGGTGAGGATATAGAGAAATTGGAAACTTTGTGCACTGTTGCTAGGATTGTAAAATAGTGCAGCTATTATGGAAAACAGTATGAAAATTTCTCAAAGCATTTCAAATAATTGCCATATGATCAAGAAATTCCACTTCTGAATATATATCCAAAAGAACTGAAAGCAGAATCTTAAAGAAATATTTGTAAACCCATGTTCATTGAAGCATTACTCACAATAGCCAAGAGGTGAAATTAACCTAAATATCCATCAATGGATGAATGAATAATGTGGCATATGCACACAATGAAATATTATTCAGCCTTTAAAAAGAAGTAAATCTTATCACATGCTACAACACGGATGAAGATTGAGGACATTATGCTAAGTGATATAAGGCAGTCACAAAAAAGTAAATATTGTATGACTACACTTATGCAAGTGTCTTAGTCTATGTTCTGTTGCTATAACAGAATACCACAGAGTGGGTAATTTGTAAAGAAAAGTTTATTTAGCTCATGGTTTTGGAGGCTGGTTAGGCCAAGAGTAAGGCACTGGCATCTGGTGAGGGCCTTCTTGTGGCATCATAACAAGGTGGCAGAGGGCATCAAACGGTGAACGTAGGAGCATGCTAGCTCAGGTCTGTCTTACTCTTTTTATAAAGTCACCAGTCCCATCATGGGGTCCCACCCTGATAACCTTATGTAATCCCAATTACTTCCCAAAGGCCTCATCTCCAAATGCCATCAACATATGAATTCAGAGATTACGTTTCTAACACGAAAGGTTTGTGGGGGACACATTCAAACCATAGCAATGAAGTACCTAAAGTAGTCAAATTTATAGAAACAAAAGGTATAATTATGATTGCCAGAAGCTGGGGAGTGGGAAAACAGGGAGTAGTTCAATGAATAGTGTCAGTTTTACAAGATGAATAAGTTCTATAGATCTGTCGTACAACATCGTGAATATAGCTAACACTACTGTATACTTAAAAATGGCTAAGAAGGCAACCCCTTCGGGTTCCCTCCCACTGTGGGAGATTTTCTGTCCTCTCAATAAATCCTGCTTTCTAAAAAAAAAAAAAAAAAAGACTAAGATGGCAAATTTTGCTATATGTTATCATAATTGTTTAAATAGTTCAAAAATATGATTTGGGTGCAACTATTTTTAGCACAAACAGAATATAAATTGTATGCCAATAATTCATTAACTCAGAAAAGCTAGAAAATAAAATTTCAATTCACTTAAATGCACACCAATTCTCTTTTGTACTTACCAGAGACAGTTCATGGAAAAAAAGCATTCACTAAAAATTTTTCTTCCTTTCCTTCTTTCCCTTTTCCTTTTCTCATCCTGTGTCCAACTCAAAATATATGCACTGAGTCAAGACAATAAAGGAAAGAAGAAAAAGGTATTCTGCTCCTCCCTTCCCTTTGCAGCTCTCCGCATGTGCAACAGTTTTAACTCAGGAACAATGAGAGAAAACCTGGAAGGAAGCTCAAGTCCAGTTTTCTAATTATGAAAAACAGATCTTTTCTTCTATTTCAGGCTCAAGATGGCAAGTCTACCAGGAAGTAAGCAAGTATCTGAATACCCAAGATCTTCAAAACCAAAGTGGAACTGGACTGGTTTTTAAAAAGTGTGGTACATATGCAAGATGGACTATTATGCTGCCATAAAGAAGGACAAAATTATGGACTTTGCAGCAACTTGGATGGATTTGGAGTCTATCATACTCAGTGATCTATCACAGAAACAAAGAATTGAGTACCACATGTTTTCACTCATAAGTGGACCCTGAACACTTACCATAATACTTCAAGACAGGGATTGGCAGTAGTGGGACACTGCCAGGAAGGGGCGGCACATAAAATCAAAAAGGGTGCCTGATCCTAATCCAGGTGAAGTGAGGGCCAATGGGAGGCCCAAACTTCACCTGTACCAAGACCATTTATGTACCCAATCCTGACTTGTACCCCACATCTTTAAAATAAAATTAAATTAAAAAAAGAAAAGATTCGTATGCTCAAATTCACAATTAATGTATCAGAACTGACCTCAAATTAAAGGCAGCAAAAAGTTTTGGAGTGGATATGAAACAAATGGAACTCCTGTACATTGTTAAATGACACAAATTGTCAAATCATTTGACAGTATTGAATAAAGTTAATGTCCTTACCATGCAACCTAGTCCACTCCTGTGTATTTTCCCCAAAGAAATAAAATTTGTTTCTACATGAGGACTTGCAAAAAATTAAATTAAATTAAAATAAAGATAGCAAAAATAAGAAACAGCACACACCTATCACACACATTTTCTTTATTAATGAAACAAAAATATGTAAATGTAACATAAATGAATCACTTATTCCATTAGGAAATGCCTCATTCTACAATCTCTTTTAGCTGATTTTCCATCAATTTCATCACATTTTGTCTCTTCACTTTTGTTTGGATGAAAATTCCCATAATAAACAAAAAGAAAAATAATTCCAAGAAGAAGAGTAAGAACTATAGTGATGCTGATAAATATAAAATATTCTGAATTAAAAAAAAAAAGTGGTCCAACCCAGAACACAATCAATATCCCCAAAGTGGCAAATACTCTTACACTATAATAACAAGACATTGGACATTTGGTATTCTGTCCCTTAATATTAAAAAATGTAAAGATAAGAATGAATCCAACGACAATCCTATACAGGAATTCCATACTCATGGAAGTACAAAAGTGAGTTTGGTTTTGAAATGCCCATGTTGTACTTAAAAACCAAAGAAATAGCAACAGAAGTAAAGTAATTTTAACATTTAAGAATAGTAGAAGTACAACACTCAGCATCCAAGACGATAATGTAAACAACTTGTAAAGGAGATATGTGATTTTGGGACAGCATCCATCAAGACACCTTTTTTCAGGCAAGGATTTCCTTAAAGCTATTTGATAATCAAGAGTTGAGCAAGAAATAGCACAGCAAGAGACCGTGATGGCTACACCTACAAAACAAAAAAATAAAAATATGTTATAGAAATAATAATAACAATATTAAATTACTATATGCCATACATGCTTTGTTCACATATACGCTCACCCACAAACATGTCATGCACTTTAATAATTTATGGAGATAGATATTAATATTCCCATATATTATATATGAGGGAACTGAGCCTTGTAATGATATATTACTTGACTCAGGTCACACTAGCTAGCAAGTTGCAGAACTGAGATTTGAACCTGTATCTGCCTGATTCCAAGTCAATGCACTTATCCACTATATTCAACTGCTTTACAATGATTTTTGAAAAAATTCATTGGACAAATTTTACTAAGCAACAGTTATGCTGGAAACTACATACTCTGCAAGTTAAGAAACAATGACTATAATCCTAGCTTTTCTGGACTTTTCTCTGTGAGCTTGGGCATATACCTAATTACTGAGAGACAGCCTCAACATGAGGGGAGGATAAACAAAGGGGAAAGGAGAAAGGAGAAAGAGAGTCAAAGAGTGAGTGAGACGGTTAAACGGAAAATTTAATATGAGGTGTTAACAAGCTCAGTTTCCCATATTCTGAAGATAATTAATCAAATGAACAAATATGTTCTAAAACCTATGAATTTCTGTAGTTTTGACATCTTTACCCCATTTTTTTCCCCAACAAATAACAGAAAAATAAGCTCCTTACCACTTTGGAAAGGCAAGTCATTACTACCCCCACTGTCAAAATTTGGGGACTTTTATAAAAGTGAAATCAAAGATTAGAAAATTTAAAAATAGTTTAGAACAGAATACCAAGTGCTAGTCATTTCCATTAAGCTTCACTGGAGATTTGTATAATATGATAGAAAGACAGACTTACAAAAACTTATCTATTGATGATAATAATGAGGACAGGGTCTTGTAAATGCCTTTGTGTGCTTTCTTGCTTTTAGCATAGACCACCCTGGACCCGACTAGTTGAAATTCTTTTTTTTTTTTTCTTATTTAAACATATCTTAATTCAAACATCACTTTTCCCTAAATTGCCCTATTATGTCTTTTCTTATAATGAATTTTTATTTCTACCACTTTAGCACATACACAAAGGAACCTCCAAAAGTTCATGGAAAATAGAATTAAAATAAAAACTATTTCTCAACATAAGTTCCATCAAGTTGAAGACACTTTTGTAAACAATAATACCAGCCACTTAGATCATCCCTAAATAAATGAGGGATTTAATGGTGTTAATGCAGTCTTTTTCACATTATTAGCTAAAGAAAATGGATGCCTTTTATAGATTTTTTTTTAAGATTCAGAAACAAAAAATAAGTCCGAAAAAGCTGAATCAGGACTGTAATGTGAATGTCTAATGATTTTCATCAAAACTCTCACAAATTTGCTTTTGTTTGACAAGAGGAATGAGCAGAAGCACTGTCGAGGTGAAGGACTCTCTGAAACTTTCCCAAGCATTTTTCTGCTAAAGTTTTAGCTAACTTTCTCAAAGCATTCTTATAATAAGCAGATATTATCATTCATTGGCCCTTTAGAAAATCAACAAGCAAAACGCTATGAGCGTCCAAAAAAACTGTCCTGACCTTTGCTCTTCGCCAGTCTACTTTTGCCTTGACTGGGCCACATCTACCTCTTAGTAGCCACTGCTAGAACTGTGCTTTGTCTTCAGGATCATACTGGTAAAGCCATGTTTCTTCTCCTGTAAACAATTCCTTTAAGAAATGCTTCAGGATCTTGATCCCACTTGTTTAAAATCTACACTGAATGCTTGGTTCTTCTCTGGAGCTGATTTGGGAGCAACTGTTTTGGTACCCACTGAATGGAAATTTCGCTCAACTTTAATGTTTCAATCAGAATTGTGTAAACTGAACCAACTGAGATATCTATAGTGTTGGCTATTGTTTCTGCTGTTAACTGTCAATCTTCTTCAATTAGAGCATACATAAGGTTAATTTTTTCCTCACAAATTGATATAGATGGCCATCCACTGAGGGCTTCATCTTCGACATCACCTTATCCCTTATTAAAGTTATCCATATGAGAGATGCTAATTTCTTGGGGGCATTGTCCCCATGAATGATTTAACCATTCTTTCACCCAAGCTTCACCATAAATGTGATGTTTGTTCTTGCTTCAATTTTAGTAGAACTCATACTGCTGTGACAGGGCTCTTTTTAAACTAATGTTTTATCCCTCTTGGTGCCACAAACTAGATGCTGTTTAGACATGTTATAACAAATTAGTATGAGTTTATTTTGGTGCAAAAAATTATAAAATCCATAGTTTTTTCATAATACACATTTTCCTTGAATTTTTTAAAGTCGCCTCATATGTAGTTTTTAAAAGTTCTACAAAACTTATAGGAAAATAGTAATAACTTGGTCTATCCCCCCTAACCCCTCAGTTGCAACCCCCAGAAGAAATCACTATCGACCTTCTAGCTTTTCTTCTGACATTTATTATCACATTTATAAATAAAACCTATACTGTGCCTAACTTATGTTTTAGACACTGTTTCTTGATTTCCTATTTGAAAAGAAGAAAATTTAACACATACACATATATATATATATACAAACTCTCCTTCCATTTTCCTCTTCCTCTTCCACCCGACCAAAAGAGTAACATGACAATCTTTGGTAAAATCAATATTTGGAGTTTACCTTATTAGAACTGCATAAGTATAGTGCTTTTTTATTGCTTACATTTCAAAAACCACGCTGACTGTATTTTCTTTCTTTGAAAATTTTCATGCTTCCTGCAGTTAACAATTGCCTTGTTTCCTTCCTTGCTTTCTTTTTCATGACCCTACTATTTCTTAGCAAAAAGTTCAAATTAATTAGTTAATAAAACTCCTCTATATACATCTATTACTTCTTTTTTTCTGTTTGTGTTATTGTTGCTGTTGTTTAGAATACCATCATCCTGCTCTAAGAAGGCTGCTCTCAAGGCATGCTTCCTGTCTTTCAAGAACATCCCTTCACCTCGCTTTTGTGTTGACTTACTGTTTCCTGGATCTCTATCTTCTTTCTTGCTTTATTCCTATGTTTTTATTAAGCATTCTCCAGGCCTTCCTGAGAAGAGTTGCTCAGAAGCTAAATTTTTTTGAGACCGTATATATCTTATTCTACCCTCATAATGCACAGTTTTACTAGAAATAGAATTCAAAGATAAAATACATTTTCCACTGAAATTTTAAAGTCATTGTTCTATTATGTTCTAATTTCAGCTATTGTGGTTAAGAATTTTGATGCCATTCAGTTTTTCTTTAGTGATTCTTTACTATCAAATCTTCTAGAATCTTAATCTTTCTCTGTTTTTCTAATATGATATGATGTGCTTGATGTGAGCCATATTTTTATCCATCCTTTCAATCTAATAAGCTACATCCTTTAGTGCTATGCCCTGCTTTTACTCTTTGATGGTTTCCCTAGAGACCACAACATGCATATTAAACATCTCAAAATTTAAAGCTAATTCATATTGTTACCTCAAAGCTATATTTATCATTCAGATAATGAAGCTTAAATTTCAGGGATCCTCACTTGCCCAGTCTACTTCCAAGTCTGACAAAGCCCTAGCAATGTGTTCACCTTGTCATATATTTTTACAAATATTGCACACAAAAAAACATTTTAATTGCAGTTGATTAAATTCTATCTTTCTACTCTTATTTACCCTTTCTCATATTTTCCCTCAGAGTATTGAAGTGACTGTGGGCATTTTGGGGATCTGGCTCAGAGAAATTGAGCTGAGAATACATTTAGTTTAAGTATAAAGAGACAAGTTTACAAGATTTGATTGAATTACTAAGATTAATAAGTGACAGAGCTAGGATTCTCAGGCAGTTTGCCTGAGCCTTTTATGTGGTTGTACCATCAACAGGCCTTTGATTTCTAACAGGAGGGCACAATGGTCTATTCTCATCCAGTTGACACTATTATTTGGCACTATGGTTCATTTCCCACATACGTACATGCCTCTAACATATTTCTTTCTGATTGTATTGCTACCCCAACCTGCACTTTACACTCTATTCAGACTAAATTCCTTGCTTTTGTCAAATTGTCTTTATTTATGCATTTCCCTCAGTCTGAAATGACGTTGTCCAATCACATTATTAATTCTATATTCTTATTAGTACACAAATTCTTATAAATTTCTTTCTGATTCAACACTAAATGTTGATATCAGTGAAAAAAACATAATTTTCTTCACTAAATAAAGTATCTAAAATAAACTAGTAATGTCAATTCAAACAGCAGTTAATATTAGTCACTTTGGTTAGGCATAGTGGCTCATGTACCTAATCCCAGCACTTTGAGAGGCAGAGGCAGGAAGATTGCTTGAGGCAAGGAGTTCAAGACCAGCCTAGGCAACATAGCAAGACCCCCATCTCTACCAAAAAAAAAAAGTTTGTCACTTCATTTTTTTTAAAAAAAACTCCTATAGTACGTTTTTAAAGAAATGGGTAGGTTTATTCCAAAATTTGACAATAATTTTAAAAAGACATGATATTAACAATAAATTATGATATTGAAACAAACTTTTCTTAACTAAAAGCAATAAAAAACAAATTTCAATCAACTATGCTAGAGAAAAGACTGAATTATTTTTCTATTCTATGAAAATTATGTTATAAAATCATTATCAAATCTATAGCCACAGAGTATAAAGCTACAATGTTTAGAGGAGAGTATTAAAATTTTAAAAATTACTTCTCTTCCTTTGGTGAAATATGTGGTGTTGGCTTTCTTATATCTGTAATTTGCTGTGATTAATTTTCTTATTTTAAGTAAATATTTGCTTTCATATATTTCATGGATTGAACTGTGTGTCCCCAAAATTCATATGCTGAAGATTTAACACCCAATGTGTCTATATTTGGAGACAGGTAATTAGGTTAAATGAGCTCATAATGGTGGGGCCCTAATCTAATAGGAATAGTGTCCTTATAAGAAGAGCAACATCAGCATCTTACTAACCAGAGAAGTGAAAGAC